TTTTTTTTTGGTATTTTGTATCTCTTCCCTTCGAGTGACTTTTGACGCGCAGTAGACGGAATTACCGAATGGATGTCGAACAATTTGTACTACTGCTTCTTAACAGTCCTTTTTTATTAACAGAACAATTCAAAGCCGAAAATAAGGTCATAGTTTTACGGAAGAATTGGTGGCATATCCTTCTCTTTCAATTCGTACAGTGCGGTGGACTAATTTTTAAAATTTAGATTAATTGCTTGCTTCATTTCGCAACAAAAGATTAACTGACTCCTAGTTATGCATTTTTGCTTATATGCCAAATGCAAAAACGCATACTGTGACGACCTTCGTGTTTATGTGTGTGTGTGTGTGTGTTTGTGTCCGGCTATTTCAACTCGGTACCCAAACAACCTCCGGCGCCAAAATTTTGGCAGTGGTTTCCCCGACGACGGTACTAACCCTCAAGCAGGTCTGAGCCCCGTGTAAAGGAGGTGAAGGTTTTGGCGGGAAAATCGCCAACTCGGGAACCGGGAAAGTTGAGAGGCTGTAATTTTGAGGTTGTGTTCCCTGTCCACACAGAGCTCAGAAATTTCAAATTCAGCCCCCAGGTGTGCATGGTACTCACATATGGTCCCGTGAGGGTTCCTGACGCGAAAATCGCTAACTTGGGAACCAGGAAAGCTGAGTGGCTGAAGTTTTCAGGGAGTGTTCCCACCACATGTGCAACTTAAAGTCATCTAATCCGGGCCCCACGCATGCGTGGTTTTCACTTGCGGTCTCGTGAAATTTTTTGGCGCGAAAATGGTTAGCTCAAGAGCCAGAAATGCTAGAAGGCTGAAATTTTCAGGGAATGTTCCTGGCACATGTACAACAAAAATTTGTCAGATTCAGCCTGTGGGCATGTGTGGTTCTCACGTACGATCCCGTAAAATTTTTTGACGGAAGGACGGCAAACTCGGGAAATAGGGAAGCTGAGGGCTGGAATTTTAAGGATCTGTTCCCAGCTCCGTGTAAAAGTTAAAGACATCAAATTTAGCTCCCAGATATGTGTGTTTCTCATTTACGGACCCATGAAATTTTTTGGCAGGAAAATTGCTAACTCACGAACGAAAACCAGAGAAGTTGGAAAGCTGAGATTTTAACGGAATGTTCCCTGTCCAAGTATCGCATAGACAATTAACTTCCTGAACTTCAAGGACCAGTATGTCACAAATCCAAGCTACTAGGTTCCCGAGCGATCTCATTACAGCACGAAATACTGCAAAAACTCGTGATCGCATTGACTCGCCCGGTGCACGTCGCCAATGATTTTTAGTCACAGCGAATGGTGATAGGTGCTAATGGGAGACGAAGAGAAGAGGAAGGGGTGCAACGAGGGAGGAGGTAATTAGTGATGAATATAGTTTTTGAGCCGTTGACCTCAGAGAGCGAAACAAATCAAATTTTTAAAATCTTGAGTTCGTAGTTTGGTGGAATTTTTGACTTCTCCTTTTGTTCACGTCGGAGCTTTAGCCCGCGACAGATTTTTAAAAACTCGTTGGCTCTGCACAAGGTTGAGGTCTCAGTTTCATGAATTCTGTATTTTTTAAGTTCTGCTCAAAAGTGGGTCCGACACAACACATCACTGCGGAGAATTCTCAATAAATGAATCATCGGACTTTCATAACCAAAGCACTGTTTTGTGTCTTTAACAAATTGAAAATGGTCATCT